AAAAGTTCTATCGAATCTTCAAGTTATGCAACAATAATCTGAAACACCCTGTATAAGCAGTAATACCTTTTTTGATTGACGTGTCTGAATAGACCTGAGGTTTGGGACATTTTCTTTGCCTTACTCATAAAACCTAAGCCCGACGAATAAACTCATTTGACTGCCATTCATGCTCCGTACGATGTCAGAAGAGTATCAGTGTTGCCAAATGGGCCGTTGACGTATTTATAGAAACATCAGGTCAGTGTATAAGATGTAACATGTGTGCAGCCTGCCTGGCATCGGATACTCTGCGTTCTTGAATGACGTTTTTATTTTGTCTAAAAGTTGTAGGAATGCTACAACAGTGGTCGCTGGTGCCTTTACTGTGTCAGTAATTTATTAAGTATTTTGTCAATGGTCGCGGCATGGGTATTGTTTATACACATTCATATCAGATGAAGAATAGTTAAAACAATTCTCCAAAGGGTTGAATGCACTATATTTTACTTCCCACGCCTGCTGTGAATCATTTCTGTCGATCTGTTTGTCTGGCCAGTCTATAACTTGGAAAGTACCCCTCGGGTTTTGATGAATTGACGTTTCAGAGGCCCTAGATCATTTTCGGAAAAAAATGTGTAGGTCTAAAAATTGGGGGTTAGAGGTTGCAATGGTTTTGGTATATCTCAATAATTTTTTGACGTTGGCAGTCGCTTCCGTGCTGTTATGGGCTGTATAGGTCAATATCGTCATCCACGCAGGATTCGTCATAGCAACGATCATGTGCGCCTTCAAGATTTTCTCTCGGGTGGAGAAGAAGTCATTTAATTATCCGTTATAAAAGTTCGTAGCTAACTTTTTTGTCTGAAGGGCTAACTTGTGGCTTTACGAAGTGATAACAGCGTTGCGTGAGAAGTATAGACTAAACGACATTTTTTTTAATTGGGAAAGAGACAGTGAACAAGATATTGGATATACAAATTTAATCAACTGAATCTAGTGTTGATATTCGCTCAGTGAGAGTTGATAATTCCGATGGAGAGCTCCAAGGTCACTGCTTTTATTTCCAACAAACCTAACTAAGAGCCGTCTCGACAGACAAGACGTCCTATTGAAAAACCGCAGTCAAATCGGTTCACCCGTTTGGGAGCTTTTCCGACAAGGGTTAAAAATCATAAAATATGAACTTTTGAACTGGGTTTTTCAAAAAAAAAAACCGATATAGTAATCCACAAATCAACCGTTTTTATCTGATACCTCATATGAGCGTATTCACTTAGTTTGTGTTGCTCAGCCATAGGCGCCCGAAGTGAAGGGGGGTCACCCCATCCTACAGAATCATAATATTTCTAAAAAATTGCATATTTACTATAAATGAGGATTTTTAGGATATACCCCTGAGAACATTTCATCAGCAAAGCTTTTTTGGGGGCTCGAAATGGTATCTCTTACCGATGAATACCTCCCTTTACATAACCTTCAAACAGATGAACCGATTTTCATCAAACATGGCCAGGAAGGAATCATCTCGACACACTCAAATACCACCGGGGGTTAAAACTGATATTAGATAATGACATAATCGTTTCAATGTTATATACTATATATACTAAGTGACATATAAATCCGAACACCCAGTTTAAATGGTTTTATTTTAATAAAATTTTGTATAAGTATTTAATGAAGCATAATAAGTAAATGATAAAAATTTCAAAATGATTGCACTGCTTTAAAGCCCTTTGACCTTTAATAATGTGTGGATGCATCCTGATGTGCTACGCATTCTCCAACGCGCCTAGGCATGCTTCTGATCAGGTGGTCAATGTCCTCCTGTGGTATCTCATTCCAGGCAACCACCAACTCCTCTCGAAGTGCTTCTAGAGTCTGAGGAGGACGTTGCAAATTGAGCAATCTCCTACCCATCATATCAAACACGTGCTCAATTGGGGATAAGTCGGGAGATCTTGGTGGCCATGGTAACAATGTGACATCATTATGATGGAAGAAGTCTATTGTGACGCTTGCAACATGTGTTCGGGCATTATCTTGTTGGAAAGTTGGATCTGCCAGGGTGTCAAGATAGGGTAAAAGATGGGGTTCTAGAACTTCGTGGATATAACGCTGCGCGTTCATGTTACCTCTGATGAAGATTAAAGGTGACCTGGAACCAAAAGCTATAGCACCCCAAACCATAACTCCAACAGTGTGATGAACATGTCTTTCAACAAAAAACTGTGGATTCCTCCTTTCACCACGTCGCCTTCTAACCCTGGCACGACCATCGTGCATGCCTAAGCAAAATCGAGACTCGTCACTAAAGACAATACTGTTCCATTCCTGATCCCAGAGTGACCGTTGTCTGCACCACTCAAGGCGATTACGTCGGTGTTCTCGAGTTAAAGGGAGGACCCAGTGTGGCCGGTATGAAAACAAGCCAAAACTTCTCATTCATCGGTAAACACTTCGCATGCCAATAGGTCTTCCGTGTTCTGCAAACCATTCATTTGCAATGGACCTGGTAGTGGAGAAACGGTCCCTTAAGGCCAATAATCTTAGGCGGCGATCTTCACGGTCTGTTGTTCTACGGCGGCGTCCAGTGCCCCTTGCTCTTTGCGTACGGCCTTCTCGAAGCCATGCCTGACAACACCTAACCACAGTGTCTATACTTCTTTGCACTCTAACTGCAATTGCCCGAAAAGAAAGTCCAGCTTCCCGAAGTCCCACTATACGGCCCCTATCAAACTCACTAAGTTGGCGAAATCGTACAGGTCTCCGTACTCTAGGCATCGTAACCGATCGTAAAGGATGTCTTTACTGCGGCTGAAATATTCATTTTTAGAGCGTTAGTGAATTAAAAAAAAGCAGTATAAAAACCGGAATGTCCAACTGATAAGGCTGAACATTTTTTCACTTGTTATTTACAGTAAGATAAATACATTCACCAACTTTTATTAAAATAAAACCATTTAAACTGGGTGTTCGGATTTATATGTCACTTAGTATATTTTTCTTAATGACGGAAGTTGTTTCAGTCAAAATCGAAACTAGACATGATGAGTACACAAATTGATATGTGGGTATAGGAACTATTAAACAATATAGCATAATTATCTTCGTATCTTAAAGAATGTATGTGAGATGTAGACAAAAAACATCTAAAAGTCTACAGGGAGCCTACTATAAATTGAATCCTGTCTAACTTCATTGTATGGTCATTTAAAAAATAAAAAAGTTGTATTGCATAATATACATTTTTCCAAGCAATATATTTTTATACAGAAAAGTGCTATCGTATAAAGCTGCATTTTTTCATATCGAACGCCCTGTATAATTTTAGTGAAAATGATAGTCAATTTTATCGGACTATAATATTTATGCAGTTTACCCTACATACTGTCATTAGATTGGTCAATAACTTAAATTTTGTCTGTCATAAATTTATGTGTGTACCTGAGTTTGCATCTAGTCGCCTGTGCAATCTAACATATGGCCGATTACATATAATTAAATGACATTGGACCAGAACAAAAGCGGCTATCATTTTCACTGAAAAAATAAAATACAGCATGTTTTATTTTAAAAAAATACAGCTTTATTCGATAGCACTTTTCCGAGACACTGACTGAAAAACTTTATATTAGATTCTACAACTTATGCATATTTTTTTTTTCTGACATCATGCTAAACAGTCAAGAAGGGGGTCAATATTTATAACGGAACATCCCATATAATAATGATACTGATCACTTTATATTCTGTCACCACAAAAGAAATCATCAACGGTGAATTTGAATCTCTTGTGAGCGTCTGTGCTATGTAGTTTTTGCGTTTGGTCATTATTTATATGGCAAAGGCATTGCATTGACACTTTTTGCAGAGTTACTTGGTGCGTAAATACTAAATACAGTCCGATTTCGTTTCTATTAAGCGTGTCAGGTGCTCGCTACCGCTCTAGACCTATCTTAAGACTCATAAACTCAAAAAAATCCCCCACTTTTATGGAAATGATTGTTACCCAGTTAGAAACGATACTACACTGTAATCAAATTCTACAGCAGTAACTCTCTTCACATTCAGGTTGCGAAATCTGCCTAACAATTTATTCGACTGATCCTCACGTACAACCTTCGCAGTTTGACTACTTAACAGAGCTCATCAAAGTTATAATTCAGGAATGTTAACAGCCTCTTTAATTGGTAAACCATAAAAGCCCTTAATTATGCGTCATGTTTCTCTAAAGCTGTATTATTAAGAATCTTATTAAAGAAGGTAAAAAAATGACACATAAGGAATATGATACAATGGTGGAGTACAGAAAAGTTGCTGTGTATGAAGACAGGTACTATAATGATGAAAATAAAAGTCATCAGATGACATCTCAACTGTCATATGTCATATGAATGAAAGTAGTTTCTGATTTCGTGCTATATTTTATCCTAATTTGTTATATTTTAGATGTGTTCTAAAAAATATACGGCATCAAAACTTCGCCGTTGCTATATTTTAGGTTAATTAAATGTTACTTATACGCTCATTATATCTCAAATTCGTAGTTTCCTCAAATTTTGTAGGAGTGGAGCGCTTTTAATTTGAGGATACATATGGATGAAAAAACCACTTAACATTGTCTACTATTTTTGTATAAAAGTGTCATTCGGATGCGGTCAATAAAGGCAATATTCTACCCTATAATCTTCGATACAAGGTCAAAAAGCATTTGAGATTAAGATTGAGGTTAAGTAATGAATAACAAAGACATGAACTAGAAGAAAAACCTACCTTTCTGCCTGCTGAAAGCCTTCATTGTTTTTATTCCCATACCGCTCAAAATGTCTATACACATTGACTAGAATTATTTACAAAACAACAATAAATAAAAACCCCGCTTAGAATATTTATGTACAGGTATCACAATAATATTTCTTGTAGTATCGCGGCGACGTCGTTGTTCGGTAGTCCTCAGCTATTTCTGAATGGAAACTATTAATACCCATCCTAACGCGCGTTCAACTGTTCTGCAGGTCATAGCCGTCGCGGCACTCCGCGATTTTCGCGAAAAACAATGTGCGGATCACAAGAAAGGAGGGAAATGTCGCCTCCGTCGGAAAGAACACAACATCCGATCTTTAAAACGAAGAAAGCTGCGGCGATTGTCGCGCACCTGTGCTTGAATAGAGCCGGCCCGGGGCTCGACAGTCGACTGTTTAGCCTGCTCCCCCCCTCCAGCCGGCGACCGAGGCCTGCCAGAGTTATGAATGAATAGCCTCGCACCGGGTGCCAGCGGAACTGACGTGTCTGATGTACGGAAGAAGAGGACGGAGATACGAGCGTGCAGACTGCCAGTTGTGGATCTTCGAGATGGGATCGTATCGTAGTAGTAGCAGAGTCAACAGGAGGCTGGCTGCTAAGTGACGATTCTTTTAAAAATCCAACCGTTCATAAATCGAATTTGTCATTTTGACCAAATCATTGCACCTCGTAATCAATACAGGGGAAAAATATGAATGTAACAAAAAATAGGTTTCAAGAAAAGAGTATTTAAAAGTTTGAAGACTCCTAGACTCGTTTTACAGCGTGGGTCAAAGATCTGATGGAGTACCATAGATTCCTTATTATAAGGAATTGAAAAAAAATATACTGTTGCGCCTTGTAGAACTTCTGATTTCACTGTTTTGTCACTTGAAACTTATCGAAGGTAGTCTGATTTTAAATCGTAAAAAGTGAGGATGGGGCACGCTTTTCATGATTTTTTTTTCCAAAATACTATTTTTTTAACAGTTATTTCCCCCCATTATTTCCACCGCCATCTACGATATGACGTTGACGTCTGTGGATATGTCATATATGAGAGACGCGTGTCTGCGGTGTTGCCGGATTGGGCTCCATATTTAAGGAAAAATATGAAAAGTGGAAAATTTATATACATTTATATTAATTAATGAAACAAAAACAAAAAACTGAAACAAACAACAGTAGTAAAATTAAAAGCGATTCCGACTAAGTATAAAACAAAAAATAACAAACAGCAGTAAAATAAAAAGCAATTCCAAATGATAATAAAAAACAAAAAATTAAAACAGTAGTAAAACAAAGAACCATTCCATGTAATTATAAAAAACAAATTAAAGTAAAATAAAAAGCAATTCCAAATGATAATAAAAAACAAAAAATTAAAACAGTAGTAAAACAAAAAACCATTCCATGTAATTATAAAAAACAAAAAATTAACAGTAAAATAAAAAAGCAATTTGGATGGAATGAAATTGTTTTTCGTTTTACTACTGTTTTTACTTTTTATTTTATGTTGTTCAACTCTTTGTTATTTTTTGTTTTTTTATAATTACATGGACTTTTTTCCTACTGTTATTATTTTTTGTTATCACTTAGAATTGCTTTTTATTTTACCGTTTGTTATTTTTTGTTTTTCAGAATTACATGGAATTGTTTTTTTGTTTTACTACTGTTTTTTATATATTTATATATCATTTTTTAGCTTACTACCTTTATTTTTTGATTTATACTTATTAGGAATCGCCTTTTATTTTGCTACTGTTGTTTGTTTCAGTTTTTCGTTTTTGTGATTCATTAATTTAATGTATGTATATAAATTTTCCACTTTTCATATTTTTCCCTAAATGCGGAGCCCAATCCGGCAACACCGCAGTCAAGCGCCTCTCATATATGAAATATGCTCCGATCTACGTCACCTAAAAATACAGTTTTGGGAAAAATTTTCCATGAAAAGCGTGCTTCATCCACACTTTTTTGTTTCTAAATAATCTATCAGACTACCCTCTAAAAGTTTTAAGAGAAAAAACAGTAAAGTCGGAAATTCTACAAGACATAAGAGCACCGAAAAAAAAGTTGAATTATAAATGAAAAAAAATTGATATACAGGGCCCAAAAGTTAAAGCAGACCAAACATTTTTTTAAAGGAAAATCCTTTTTATTTTCGTATTTTGAGATTCTGCTTATGATCTTAAACATTTTTAACGTGTTCGCGTCCATGCCTGAGTTCAACTTTTTTTGAGATCCTGGGGTTAGAAATTATCCTTTCGTCATATGCGAAACCCTGTAAAATCTAGGGGTTGATTAACCAGCAAAACGCCTATCTTAGGTTTTACGATCTGTTCTAATACGACAACAACAGGAAATTGATTACACATGGCCTAGAACATGAAAAAAAGGTGATTTTCTAAGCTCAATAGCTCAAATACAGAATTATTTCTAAGTATTTTTTAATTGGGACAAGAAAAAACAATGAACCGAAAAAAGCATTATTCAAAAATTATATAGAACAAACAAAACAAAATTAATGGTAACTGCTTAAAAGTAATTACGTAACGTTTATTTCTTTCATCGCAGATTGGTCTATGGTAAATTGTTGTTGCGAGGCGTCACTCGGTGACAAAAAACCTCAGAGACAACAGACACAGCTTATAGACACAGCATTAGCGCGTAATTTTTGAATTAGTCTTGTTAGTTTGTTATCTCGTGTTTTTCAAGTAAGTCTCTGGGTGATATTTAATTACAAGATAGCCTCAAGTAAGTTGACTCTGGACTACGCTGTTACCAGTTCGTAAAGGGTTATGTTTGGTACAAGTCAGCCCTTCTGAGACAAAAGTTAGCTACGAACATGTATACCAAGAAATTAAACGACCTTCCTTCTCCCCCTGAGAGAATTACTACAGGCGCACATAACGATCATGCACAGTGCACACAGCCCACGGCAGTACGGAAGTGACTGCCGACTCTGCGTACTACCACCGATGACGATTGTCCATCGGGGGACCACGTCACAATGTATAGACACCTTACTGTAGGAGATATTTCCAAGTTTTAATGGTAAACGAACGGGGACATCTATGATGAGTAAAATATCACTAATATCTGCGTAGAATTAGTGGGGTTGGAGGCGTCATAAAATTGAGATATATCCCCCCACCCCCTGAAACCCCTCACTACAAAAATTTTCCGAAAATGATCAGGATCCTCTGAAACATCAAAAACCAAGTTTGAACGATTTTTATTTGTTTGGCCTTTTGTCCTCCGCCACTGGACCGATTTTCAAATCTACGAAACTTTTACGTCCTTGGCATAGTGGTAACAGGGTGTAAAAATTTCGTCGAAATTAGAGCGATATTTCAAAAGTTAAAGGCGGTTATAAGATTAGCGGACAGACATGCCTTTCCGTGATGTGCATGTCATATGTCTCGGAAATCTAATGGACATAGAATATGGCGCAGCCTGCCCCAATCTTTAGGTGCATTTCACTCACGTTTTGACAGGCTTTCTGGGTTTATTACTTCATGGTTTATTTATAATATATAATATTTGTGCTTGCAAGTTGTACGAACTGTCAAAATTGGAGTTGTTTACAGTCATGAAATTTATCGTCGACATTTTGTGCTTCCCCCCCCCACTCCGTATACTTAACCTCCTATCTCTATTCCTCATGGTTGCATGTATAAAAATACTTGGATGCTCGCACAGCATCGGCAGGAAATCGACGTTTTACCACTACCGATGCTGCTGCAGAAGAAACTGGAACTGGAACAGCCGTAACATATGTGATGCTGCACCTGCATTTATTTGCCAACCTACCAACAAAATCTCTGTTCATTAGCATATGTGCATACTAGACGGGTCATGCTAATTTCGGTTCTCTATCCATGTTAATGTGGCTCTACGAGTACACAAATAAGCGGAACGCACGACTGGCAGACGTTTGTGATCGATACATGGGTTTTTGTAATTGTTCTTTTTGTATGTTCCTTAATAGGGAACAGGAAATATATTGTTCTTGATTTTATTCTAAAGGATTCCAGATAACTTGATTTTCATGCTACTTGAAATCAAGTCAAATTCAAGTAAAGTATTAGATATTTGCAATGTAAATTAAGTCAAATAGCTTCCATGTCAAGTGTTTGAAAATTTTGAATTAGCTTTTCGTTCGCTTACCCCAAGTTAATACACACTAGAGTCCTAATGCTTAACCTGTTGCGCGGTTCCGTAATGGTCATTGCTCTAGAAAATTCCCTTTCAATGGACGCTGACTTTGCAGGTGTCGATAAAAAATCTCTTACCATTAAAACTAGATTTGGTAATATATTTTCACGCATTACTCGTTGTACTAATAAATATATCACTGAAGGTATTCAGTAGATCAAGAATATAATGTGCCATCAAGTATCAAGTAGTTTGAAAATGCTTGACCTCCAGTCAATTAGAACAATAACAAAATCAAGCAATTTTATTATCGAGAAAAAGAATTGTAAATCACGTCAAACAGCATTCAAACATACAATTCAGAGCACAAGACAGTAGAAAACACCAGCAGGAGTTGCTTCAGGTCGTGAATACCTAAATCTGACTTCTGAAAATGTTCCATACATGTCAGATAGAATTCTTATTTAACCTTTCCTATGAGTGATCTTATAACAGCTTGTCTTATTAACATTGCTGTTTTAACATTCAAAAAAGCACTTATTCATCACGATATCTCAAATTGTTAATAACACATGCTATTATACCTCTCTCATATCCCACCAAATTTCTATATACATATATAAAACTTTAGCAATCTCAGATTTATAAGTAGAGCTGGATACGTTGGGGAGGTATTATTGCACAATCTGGCAATCATGGCGCACCCTCAGAAATGGCCGCTGACGCGTGGACTGTGGAATTAAACTTCTACAGTATTTATATGTTTTGTGTCCCCACCAGTCAAAAAAATTAACGACCAATATTTTATTACTATTATATTTTTTTAGCTCTTATTTTTCAGTAATTACTAATAATTTTAGGTCTATGTCTATAATAATTCCATTATGCACCATGGAGATGTAGGGATCGACACGTTTTACAGATACCGGTGTTTTAGGATGGAAAGTACATACTGTTTTGATTGCTTCGAAGAAATTCATTAACCCATAAATTCATAATAAATGATTATTACTATGATGTAACGAAAAATGAGGAATTAGTCGGAATACATTTTATATTCTTTTTTCATGCAAAATACAACCAAATCCGCATATTTCAACAGGTATGTAGCTATAATGATAACATATAACGAAGGAAATTGATGGTATATCCCTGTTAATGATCCAGCTTTGCCTGCCAGTTATTCTCCATCACATCGTCCACATCTTCAACGACTGTTTGGAAAAATGCTACTTTCCAAACACATGGAAACAAGCTCTAATTATTCCAATTCCTAAAAAAATGAAACCCACTGAGTATAATGATCTCAGACCT